TATATATATATATATATATATTCAGGAATATCAAATGCAAAAACCTCTAATTCAAACTTTTAACATCAACTGTTTGAACAACTTTAATATTAATCAGAAATTTTGAACTCAATTGAATAACATTAACTACATACTTTATTTTTTTAAACCACAACCACTAAAACAACGTGTTACTGGCTAGTGATTTAAAAATAAGTCTTAGGGTAAAACGATGTCATTTTAACCTTAAAAAATAAAAAAAAAAACAAAATCGTCACGTATCGGACGTATCGTATCGTACGATACAGTGCAAAAACGATACAGAGATACGATGCACATCATTTTTCAGGTGTATCGTGACGTATTGTACGATACATATAACTATGCTATTGTCACCACCAATTTACCACAACAACCTCAACACCATCACTGTCGCACTACTGTCATCACCGGTATATCTCAATTGTCACAGCCACTACCATTTTTGCACAATCGTCACCTACTTTCTGTTTCTTGTGTCCCTCCCTCATTATCACCTCCACCAAATTCAACATCACCTTCGAGGTATCAAAGTTGGACCTTAATCGCTACCTCCACTATCTGTTCTTTGACCCCCATCATCTTCGTAAGTGGAGAAAGTGACAGTCTAATTGGTTCATCAGGCAATATGGTAATTTTGCAATTGTAAAAACATATAAGGGTATTTTGTCTTCTGAAATTAGTTATGTAGTCACACTCTCAAATCAAGTGCATGTATCACACCTCTTGTTTATTTGGACAGAAATTATGACTGTTCATTTTAATCCACTAATCACGTGAGGGTCATCTGGCTATATTTAACTGTTAAGCGTTGAAGTGCAAAAAGGTAAACCACAGGGGAGTTAGAAGGAATTTTTCCCTAACATTAATTTAGTTGTTTATTCTCTCTACTTGCTGTCAATTTGTTAGTAGGTCATTGAACTTGCTGCACTTTATAATTTAACTTGCCATTTTGTGTTCATAATTAAACTGTGTTTCCTTCTCATGAATCTTGATGTCGGTGAAGCAATGTCATCTTGGGCTGATGAAAAGCAATAGTAGAATTATAATTCAAAGTTGTATAGTAATTGCAAACAGATTTGATCTAGCTCCTCATATCACANACTTGCCATTTTGTGTTCATAATTAAACTGTGTTTCCTTCTCATGAATCTTGATGTCGGTGAAGCAATGTCATCTTGGGCTGATGAAAAGCAATAGTAGAATTATAATTCAAAGTTGTATAGTAATTGCAAACAGATTTGATCTAGCTCCTCATATCACAAAGATCGTACGTGTCATTGCAATGTTGAGTTGTGTACACTACAATGTTCTCTTTTGANCAAAGATCGTACGTGTCATTGCAATGTTGAGTTGTGTACACTACAATGTTCTCTTTTGATTTTCTAATTGTGCATGCTTACCCAATTCTTATTTCAACTATTTTGCTGCAGAATTTTTATATGATAGGAAGGGATAAGAGTAGAACATACTGGAGAGTGTTAAAAATTGATAGATTGGAGCCTTCCGAGCTTAATATTCGTGAAGATTCTACCACTTATACAGAAAGTGAATGCTCTGACCTGTTAAGAAGGATACACGAGGGAAATAAGGCCACAGGGGGGCTAAAGTTTGTCACTACTTGTTATGGAATTGTTGGTATGTAGATTTTAATTGTAAATTCTACTGCCAATGGAGACTCAGTTATGGTGATAACAATATTAATTGTGTTTTCCTCTTTTTAGGGTTCATTAAATTTCTGGGGCCTTATTACATGCTGCTCATTACGAAAAGGAGGCAGATTGGTGCAATTTGTGGTCATACTGTCTACGCTGTAACGAAGAGTGAGATGATACCCCTTCCGAATCCTGCCGTTCGATCGAATGTGGTTAATTCTAAGAATGAAAACAGGTTACTGTCCATTCTGCATGTAAAATATATATGTCCTTGTCGTTTTTAAAAGGAATACAAAGATTATCCTGAATTCTTTTATCCTCAAATTTCTTGAGAGTTTCAGTTAGTATCTGATTGGGGACCGCTGGTGTGGGAATAGATGATTGTGTTCGAAGGCAGTCACTTTGTATAAGTAATTCTGGAGGCTAGGTGTATGTCTCTTCACCCCTGCAGGCCCCTCCATTGGTGGACCAAGGCGGGTTAAGGGGACTAGAGTTGTCTTTTTCTACATCATTCTTTCTTTATTTTTTATCTCCCTTCTTTAGTTATGAAAAAAATAATCANCCTGCAGGCCCCTCCATTGGTGGACCAAGGCGGGTTAAGGGGACTAGAGTTGTCTTTGTCTACATCATTCTTTCTTTATTTTTTATCTCCCTTCTTTAGTTATGAAAAAAATAATCATGGAGTTCGCATTTCCCTCATTATGGTGGAGAATTGACATCCTCTTAAGTGCTTGCTCTAATAACTTATTTCCTATATACATGAGTTTCATGGGCGTATATAAAAAAATCCCTCGCTTGTCTCTTAAACGAGCTTGTGTTTTACTTAATCATCCTTACAGAAAGTATGAAGTTGACCTGGGATAATTATTGAATGTGGAATCACATTTTACAAGGGTTTGAGTTGATTTGAAAAGTCTTATATCTTCTTGTTGTTTCACAATCTATGTTTTATGCCCTTATTTTTCTTCTCTTAAGTTCTTGTTGAAAATTTTGCAGGGGTGTAGTTACTAATTATTTTTTTGTTCCATTGACGGCATAGATACAAGAAGCTCCTATGCATGGTGGATCTTACGAAGGACTTCTTTTTCAGCTACTCATACCATGTTATGCGCAGCCTTCAAAAGAATAAGTGTGATGACGAGATGGGGCAGGTCCTTTATGAAACAATGTTTGTTTGGAATGAGTTCTTGACTCGTGGAATACGGAATCTCCTCCAGAATACTCTTTGGACAGTTGCTTTGGTCTATGGCTTTTTCAAGCAGGTGAGGTTGGGAGCTGGTTTGTGGTCTACCATTGTGGTAATTTTGTGGGTCCGATGGGCGGATCTCAATTATTTAAGCATTACACAAATACATCTTATTGTGACTACTCAACCACTTTCATAATTCAACTAGTCATAATCAGTGCCTGAAGGTACGATAAAATATAAAATTTAAGCATCTAAAATATTGATCGCACTATATTAAATTTTTTCAACATGTGTATACTATCGTATATGAATAATATTTGAAATAAAAATTATATTAACTACAAATTAATCAAATATTAAATGATTAAACATATGATAAAAATGAGTGATGTGATATTTTTAGGGGGAAATATATAAATGATTAAACATGTGATAGAAATGAGTGATGTGATGTTTTTAAGGGGAAAAATATGTAGGGGATAAAAATTCAAGTTGTTATGTGTTTTCTTATATAGATTGTATCTTTTGAGAATATGAGTTGTGATTGGTTTGAACTCCAGAAGACAATAATTTGTTTTTCCAACCTGATATTCTCTTTTTCATTTTCTCAAGTAAAGGAAGGCAATGATCTTTCTTTATTCTCTTGAGGGACAAGGGAACATCTAGGTACTTGATAGGAAAATTACATTTTTGGATTCCTCATCAATGATCTGGAATTTCTGCGAGGAGTTCTGTTCAAGAGGAAGCATGGCTCTTATCAAAATTGACCTTTTGACCATTACAACATTACGTACTTGTTTAGTCATTTTTTATTGTGTTAGGGCTTTCTTCCATTAGCCTTTATTTGCATATTTACGAGTTTTTTGATTATACATTCTTAATTCGAAAGTGAAATTGCTTGAAATTGGCTTGCTTTGTTGATAGCTCATGATAAGTTGAATATTGGTGACTCGTTAAAGAAGAAAAGGCCTAACAGTTATATTTTCCCTCATTGGTGTATTATATTTATGTGTAAGCAATTTTGTGAAAGTCTTGATCATCTATTCCTTTATTGCCCCATTGCTATTTTCTTATGACATAAGATCTTGTTGGAGACGGATTTGGTGTGGGTTACACCTTGCAATTGTGCTTCACTTTTTGTGATGGTTTTGGATGTGGTAAAAATCTTCCATTTTTCGGAGATGCGTTACTTTGGTAATTTTTGGGGTGGTGTGGATGGCGAGGAGGAGGAAAATATAGGAAAGAGTGAAGTTCTTGACATCTCTTTGGGTGGTAGTTACTAAGGAGTTTAGTGACCCTCCTTAAACGGTTTTGCAACTCAATTGGAAGGCTGTTTGTCGTTAATAGTTTTTTTTGTATTTCAATTTTTTGTCTTTTGGGTGGATTCCTTATCCACCATTTATTGTCCCTGAGAAATTTCCATCTTTCGTTCTATGAAATGAAAGTTTAATCTCATATCAAAAAAAATTCTACGATGTATTGTCTTTATTTCTGCAGTTATTGATTGTTAGGTTTGTTTTACTTCCGGATTTTTGTTTAATGACTTTTCTATTTCGATAACTGAATGATCATAATTTAAAAATAGTTTATCAAATGAATTAAAAATTGAAGATTGTGAAAATCGGTTGCGTAATTGAAATGGATAATCAATGGATGAATGATAGCTTTAGTTATATATCATTCTATGGCTTTACAATGAAGTTATCATGCAATGCTTTCAAATAAATCATTAAAGCTGCAATTAGTCCTATGTTTTTGTAAAGGGTTGTAATTGGTCTTCTTTTTTTTTGTTTATTTGTTATTGACTTTTGGCCCTTTTGTGTTTAATGAATTTTTATGTATGATATATGGTGCAACTGTATTATTTTACTTTTATCTATTGAAAGAAAACAAAAATTAAACCTTGTAGTTAAAGTGCCCACCAAAAATAATTTTTTGGTTCCGCTCCTCGTGAGTCCAATCAACCATTATGAGATTCACCATATCGTGGTTTATCTACCAGAATCCTAGTCATAGAATTATAGTTTAGAAATCTCAGTATGCGTGCAGATGGATCCGCTTCTTGCAATTTATATGATTTGAGAATAATTTTTTTTAAAGGAAGGGTATGCTAGGAAATTGTTGCAGTTTCTATTGGGTTGGGAGTGACAAGGCTACACTATATGACCTTGGTGGTAGTTTACTCATCTGAAAATTGTTGGTGGCCATTTTATTTATTTTTGATATTTTTTCTGCATTGCTTGCGTAACTGTATAGGTTCTCTTGCATTCCTGCCAGTCTTAAAAGTTTGATGTATCATTGATGGCTTTATGCTTTGTGAATCCAGGCTCCACTATCTATTTCTGGGCGGGACCTCAAGCTGACTCTCATTGCAAGACGTTCACGTCATTTTGCTGGCACCAGGTCAGAATGAATACATAATCCCGCAGCATACTTTGGATTTATGGGATGTGTTTCTGGTTATATTTTGAATCATTTAGTAACCCTTGTCCTGCATGCTTTGTTCCTTGATAGAATGAAATTCATTGAGATGCCCTTAATTAATAGATCTTAAACTTGAGTTGCCCGTATTGCAACTACAGGAATATGGGTGTTTTTATTTGTAGACTTATCTAGTTGGGTTATTTGATTCCATCTGTATGCTGCTGTGTCCTATTCAATCGAATCTTAGTCAGTAAAATAAAGTGTTGGTATGAGCATATTGTTGTTGGGAATATTGGCAATTTATTGGAGGCTTGGAGAACTTTTGGTTCACGCTCCAAAAAACTATAACAAAATACTTTGGCAAATACGCTGCAACTTTCGTAGTCAAAGTGGGCTCCAAATTGTTAGGGCTATGTTCTGATTGTATTTATAGTTGGTTGGATAACAATATGGTTCAGGAAAGCTGTAATTTGCATTGATCCCTGGATTCGGAGAGGCAGCACATTTATGTCTGGACTTTGGAGTTGCCCATGCCCATGCCCTGAACAAGGAAAAAGGAAAAAAAATGTTCGAGTTGTGCTGGCATTAATTGGAAATACTTAAGTACATACATGCAAGGAAAGGTTGATGTATGTTGGAGAAAAGCTATTTGAGATCGACTTTATTTAGAAACTTTCAGCAGTTGATATAATTCAAAAGTGAAAAGTGACCAGGTGGAGTCCTTAAAGATGGGCTATGGTGTTGTGCGGTTTTTGTCTGCCAAGAAGTTTGGGACATTGGATTTACTGCAGATGACATGATAAACAAAAAGAGGACCTTCCAGTAATGTATGAAAATTTCATGGTTGATGCAGATTTAGGTCATCATGATTGTTTCCTTCAATGTTACATGGTGCAATTTCTTTTGATATTCCTTTTTTGCTTGGCTGTTGTGCTATGGGTGGTGCCATGGTGATTTGTGGTTTTCATAAATGATTGCTTGCTGAAAGGCAGTGATAATGGAAACAAGCAAACAAAGAGGGTTTATGGAGAGCTCCTCATTGCTTCGTTCTTTGCTCCCTTTGAAAAGATAAAAGGAGATTTTTAAAAAAAAAAGAACCTCCCACAATCTAGAATTATGTTCTTTGAATATTATTTTTGTTAGGATCTTAGTCCTGACTCCTGAGTCCTGACAGAGTGTAGATCTAGTTGTTTTATTATTTGAATTAATTTTATTGTAGACTGCACTAAACTTATTCAGTTTTTTAGTTTGGTTTTTTCTTTAATTTTCTTGACANGTTAGGATCTTAGTCCTGACTCCTGAGTCCTGACAGAGTGTAGATCTAGTTGTTTTACTATTTGAATTAATTTTATTGTAGACTGCACTAAACTTATTCAGTTTTTTAGTTTGGTTTTTTCTTTAATTTTCTTGACGCAGTTTGTGTTGGTAGTCTTTTTGTAACTTGCTTTCACAGCTTGTGTGCCTTGTTTTACTTGGATTTTGCCTTTTTCTCTTCATTAAACATTTTCCATTGGAAAAACGATAGCCGCTAATTCTCGAATGATGATGAGGCTTTTCACCTTCTTCTGATATAGATATCTGAAACGAGGTGTAAATGAGAAGGGCAGAGTTGCTAATGATGTTGAGACAGAACAGATTGTGCTTGAGGATATTCCTGAAGGGTTTCCTATTCAAATTAGTTCTGTTGTCCAAAATCGTGGCTCAATCCCACTTTTCTGGTCACAGGAAACTTCACGTTTGAATCTCAAGCCTGATATCACATGTATGTCCTTGCATTTACATTGCAGCTATAGATGTACTTTGTGAATTGTTTAAGATTGAAAATTTTCATTTTCAGTGTCAAAGAGGGACCAAAGTTATGAGGCTACCAGACTGCATTTTGAAAATCTTTTCGGGAGATACGGGAAGCCCATTATCATATTGAATTTGATTAAGGTAGGAAAGGAGTCTATAATGGCCTTTGTACTTAGAGTTGAGTAAATTGAATAATTGCTTGCTCTTTATTAGTTTTAAAAAAACATTCAGCCAAAAAATACTTTAAAACTTATTGCAGATTGTTTGATGATTCTATCAATAAAATTTACCTTGTGTCCTTTTTCTCCAACTCTTATGATTAATTTAATAATTTGCAATCTACAGACTCACGAAAAGAAGCCTCGAGAATCCATTCTTCGTGCAGAGTTTGCTAATGCAATTGAATCTATCAATAAAGAGTTAGCAGAAGAGAATCGTCTTAAGTTCCTTCATTGGGATTTGCACAAACACTCGCGGAGGTATTTTGCCTTTTTCTATGAAAATGCCTCTTTTAAAAGAAAAATACTTATGCTCTTCTTAAGATTTGATCTATAATGTAAAAGCGTATGACTTTTCTTTTTTTTTTTTCTTTCCTTGTTTGTTATCCTTTGGTTGTACAGCAAAGCTACAAATGTTTTGCTACTTCTGGGAAGGGTGGCTGCATATGCGTTAACACTGACAGGTTTCTTCTATTGTCAAGTACCACCAGCATTAAGATCTGATGGCTGTTTGAAGTGGTCTAACTATGAGTAAGTTTGTTCTTTCAATTTTGAGAATTTCCTAAACCATATGAAAAAAATTTCACATAGTTGATTTTCTTATTTTGTGTGATGGTACCTGTGGTCATGTACTTGCATAAGCCATCCATTTGTGAAATCTTTTTTTCGTTTTTTTTTTCCACTCAATGTGGACATATGTCGAATCTATAAGTTTGAATCTCCTTATTTTTATGATCCAGATAATTGGTATAAGACATTGATTTCTTATCAGTTATTGTGTGAATTTCATTGTTCTCAAATTAATGCAAACTGCTAAATAGAATACTTGACCTGATTGTTGGCTTTTATTCTGGTCTCATGCCAGTCATTAGCTCTAGCTTTTTATTGCAGTACTTGAATTATTCATTGAGTTAGTTTTTGGTTTCGTGCCAGTTCACTGGCTCAAGGTTTTGGGCAATCTTAACCTAAAGACAACAAATATGATGCAGGAATGTTGTTGCCAGTGACATGTCACCCACAAAGCATTGCAACATTGACAACAAAAAACGTTGTTACAATGATGATGATAATGCTGATAATACGGAGACAAAAATTAGTGGAGGTAACAATCTGGCTAATGGAAATCATTCTGCCAAGCCACCCATGTTCCAAAAGGGAGTGCTTAGGACCAATTGCATAGACTGCTTGGATCGGACAAACGTTGCACAGTATGCCTATGGCTTGGCTGCTTTGGCACATCAGTTGCGTGCTTTGGGTGTCACAGATTCCACGAAGATAGACCTTGATGACCCTTTAGCTGATAAATTAATGGGGTTTTATGAGAGAATGGGCGATACTCTTGCACATCAATATGGTGGTTCAGCTGCTCACAACAAGGTAAGATAACATGTGATGCCACTTTCATGTGCTAAATTCTGAAATCCAAGTAGATTGATTTTGTTTTTATTAGGTCAACCATGGTCCATCTGTTATTCTGTTAACATCTTGTTTTTGTGATCTATGTAGATTTTCTCCGAGAGAAGGGGTCAGTGGAAAGCTGCCACCCAGTCCCAGGAATTCTTCAGGACTCTTCAACGATACTACAGCAATGCCTACATGGATGCAGAGAAACAAAATGCCATTAACATGTAAGACAGTTATTTTGGGTTCTCTTGTTTTTCTTTTGTTTGGAAATTGAATCTGTGTTAGAGAAGATGGGGTAGTGGGGTTGGATAGAGGGCATATGTTTGACGGCATCTTGAATGGCTTCCCAAATTTTTCTTCTCTAAATATTTGACATGCATGAGAATGGTGTTTTATGTGGTGTCTATACTCTTGAGAGATTCATCTGCTATAATAGTCTGCCCACTTTTTTGACTTCTTTTGGCTAGCAATTTAAATAATGCACACACTTCATTAAATTCGTTGGTATGGAAATGTTTGAGCAGATTCTTGGGGCATTTTCAACCTCAACGTGGTAAACCTGAAGTCTGGGAGCTGGATTCCGATCAGCATTACAATGCATATAGGAACGGGCAAGCAATTATTGATGAAAATGGAAGGTATGAACTAGCTAATTATATGCTTTGATGGCGCCAATGGGGTTTTTATTTGAGAGAAGAAAAAAAAGACTATGCCTTTGCCATGTGAAATATGAATATAAAGTAATAATAGCATGGTACTTNATGAAAATGGAAGGTATGAACTAGCTAATTATATGCTTTGATGGCGCCAATGGGGTTATTTGAGAGAAGAAAAAAAAGACTATGCCTTTGCCATGTGAAATATGAATATAAAGTAATGATAGCATGGTACTGNGGCGCCAATGGGGTTTTTATTTGAGAGAAGAAAAAAAAGACTATGCCTTTGCCATGTGAAATATGAATATAAAGTAATAATAGCATGGTACTTTGACTTTGATTTGAGAAAGTTTTTTATTATTTTTTCAGAACATTAGATTATGTGTCAAAAGAGTAGTATGAGATCAAAGGTATTTCCAATATCTTATCTATCGGGAGTCCAGTTCAGCATCACAAGCTTTTTTGTTTTCACACTAGAGGACTCTTAACAATAGTTATGTTATGAAAGGGTGAAAACTACAGCTGCAATCGTTTGCTTGACAATTTCTGCCTAACACAAAAAGGCAACAGAGTTTCATTCCTAAGGATCTTGAGTCTCCTTCTTGGTCTTTTAAGTTGTGAGTGCATGATGTTACTACCTCAAGACAACTTGAGAAGACGTGTAGCAACTTCCCCAACATTTGCACACAACTTGACTGTTCTTCTTACACGATTGTTCTACATGATAGACTGCAAAGGTTTAATATGGATATTATTTTGCAGACTGTGCTAACCATTGTCCTTTCTATGTATAGATCTCTTTTCAAAAGATCCTTATCAGATGGGAACATTCTTCGTGAAAGCCACTCACCCATGTCCTCTTCAAACTTCGAGAAGGATCTTTCTGACCTGTCTGATCGATCACGAGGAGGAAGCAAAATGCTTTCCGAGTCAACACCAGAAATATCTACTTGTGAAAGTGATATAGCATTTTCAAGGTCTGCTTACTTTTCTTTTTCTCTATGATCAATTTAGGTCCTTGCTCTAATAATAGTATATTTGTCTCAATTTATCGTGAGGATCAGAGACATCCTTAATGAACAGGGAAATCTTATTGCCCTTTGACATGTGCACTGCACTTGTAAAAAGAGTGACAGTTTGTCTTGCTTTAAAATGGTGGCCTTTTGGTAATTTCTCTTTTCCATAAATGTAATTGTCTTACCTATATATTATGTTGTCTTAGAGAGTGAAATGTGTGGTGAAAGTTGTGATCAAAGAATGTTCCAAAGCTAATTTCATCAGTTGAGTTGTTAATATTGGTCCGGTTAGGTCGGTCTGGTTCTTATCTATATGTTACAATATTTTGAATATGAACTTACTAATATTTTTAATGTTTTTCCTTGGCTGTGAATGTCTAAGGTATTTGTTTTTGCCAAGCCTCAAATTTCTTACGTATATAATTGCCATGTTGATTTATTGGTAATTGATTTTTTGTCTATTCCCCACCAACCCAGCTACTTCCTCTGCTTGCAATGATTTGGCTACTCAAATTATTGGGTATTATGTTCTTGTTTATTTGAATATGGTTGGATTGAAAATATTGAACTGACTTGAAGAGATGGTTTCTATTTAGTATTTTTGGCAACTTCAAGAAATCTTGTTGACGAACGAGTTTTGAGATTTTCCTTTATCATTTTTACACCATAATTGGCACTTTGCTTGTGATTGAGGGAGGTTCTATTGTGCTTTTTCTTTTCTTTTCCTTTTCATTTATTTTTTTTCCGATTGAATATGTTATCTACCATTTTTGAACTTTTCCTACTTTCTATAAAATGAAAACAGANTGACTTTGATTTGAGAAAGTTTTTTATTATTTTTTCAGAACATTAGATTATGTGTCAAAAGAGTAGTATGAGATCAAAGGTATTTCCAATATCTTATCTATCGGGAGTCCAGTTCAGCATCACAAGCTTTTTTGTTTTCACACTAGAGGACTCTTAACAATAGTTATGTTATGAAAGGGTGAAAACTACAGCTGCAATCGTTTGCTTGACAATTTCTGCCTAACACAAAAAGGCAACAGAGTTTCATTCCTAAGGATCTTGAGTCTCCTTCTTGGTCTTTTAAGTTGTGAGTGCATGATGTTACTACCTCAAGACAACTTGAGAAGATGTGTAGCAACTTCCCCAACATTTGCACACAACTTGACTGTTCTTCTTACACGATTGTTGTACATGATAGACTGCAAAGGTTTAATATGGATATTATTTTGCAGACTGTGCTAACCATTGTCCTTTCTATGTATAGATCTCTTTTCAAAAGATCCTTATCAGATGGGAACATCCTTCGTGAAAGCCACTCACCCATGTCCTCTTCAAACTTCGAGAAGGATCTTTCTGACCTGTCTGATCGATCACGAGGAGGAAGCAAAATGCTTTCCGAGTCAACACCAGAAATATCTACTTGTGAAAGTGATATAGCATTTTCAAGGTCTGCTTACTTTTCTTTTTCTCTATGATCAATTTAGGTCCTTGCTCTAATAATAGTATATTTGTCTCAATTTATCGTGAGGATCAGAGACATCCTTAATGAACAGGGAAATCTTATTGCCCTTTGACATGTGCACTGCACTTGTAAAAAGAGTGACAGTTTGTCTTGCTTTAAAATGGTGGCCTTTTGGTAATTTCTCTTTTCCATAAATGTAATTGTCTTACCTATATATTATGTTGTCTTAGAGAGTGAAATATGTGGTGAAAGTTGTGATGAAAGAATGTTCCAAAGCTAATTTCATCAGTTGAGTTGTTAATATTGGTCCGGTTAGGTCGGTCTGGTTCTTATCTATATGTTACAATATTTTGAATATGAACTTACTAATATTTTTAATGTTTTTCCTTGGCTGTGAATGTCTAAGGTATTTGTTTTTGCCAAGCCTCAAATTTCTTACGTATATAATTGCCATGTTGATTTATTGGTAATTGATTTTTTGTCTATTCCCCACCAACCCAGCTACTTCCTCTGCTTGCAATGATTTGGCTACTCAAATTATTGGGTATTATGTTCTTGTTTATTTGAATATGGTTGGATTGAAAATATTGAACTGACTTGAAGAGATGGTTTCTATTTAGTATTTTTGGCAACTTCAAGAAATCTTGTTGACGAACGAGTTTTGAGATTTTCCTTTATCATTTTTACACCATAATTGGCACTTTGCTTGTGATTGAGGGAGGTTCTATTGTGCTTTTTCTTTTCTTTTCCTTTTCATTTATTTTTTTTCCGATTGAATATGTTATCTACCATTTTTGAACTTTTCCTACTTTCTATAAAATGAAAACAGAGGTGACCCAACATAAGTGGAGGGCCCAGGCAAAAAAATGTTAAATTAGGCCTTATGAATATTTACTATGACAATATGAATAATACTATTTTTTTTTTCAAAATATTAAAAAAAAATTATTTTATTTTTTTTGTTTATGTTTTTTTAGATTCAAAATTATTAATTGAATNCAGGCAAAAAAATGTTAAATGAGGCCTTATTAATATTTACTATGACAATATGAATAATACTATTTTTTTTTTTCAAAATATTAAAAAAAAATTATTTAATTTTTTTTGTTTATGTTTTTTTAGATTCAAAAATATTAATTGAAATTTTAATTTAGTCAACAAAAATCGAATACATTTGGTGTTATTTGTTGAAAATAAAAATAAAGAGAATGAAAATTTAGACTAACTAATAAAATAAAAATTTTCGGAGCAAATGTAAAAGGAAAAATTAGTGTGAGCGAAATAATCACAAGTNTAACTAATAAAATAAAAATTTTCGGAGCAAATGTAAAAGGAAAAATTAGTGTGAGCGGAATGGTCCAAGAATATATGAAACATGATTTAATATTGTAGAGAGCCAATGAGATGTTTTAACAAAAAAAAAAAATTAGCAAGACAACCATGGGTACAATTTATTTGAAATAATCACAAGTANTGAAAATAAAAATAAAGAGAATGAAAATTTAGACTAACTAATAAAATAAAAATTTTCGGAGCAAATGTAAAAGGAAAAATTAGTGTGAGCGAAATAATCACAAGTAAAAAAAAAATTCAGAAAGTGAAATACTCCGACTCACTTTATTTTATGGTCATTTTGTGCGATCTGAGAAAATAATTAAGCAAAAATGCATCCTATATGTGAAGTTACCTCAAATTTAATCTAACAAAATATTAAGTTACAATTTATAACTATTAGTTTATAAACAATAAGTTAGACAGTTGGCTTTGAAGGAAAGATAGCAAAAAAAAATTATTAAGTAATGACACATGTTTTCTGTATACCATAAATAGTAGGTAAGAAAAAAAAAAAAAAAAATTCAAGATGAACTTTAGGACCATAATGTTTTGTAAAAAAATACTTGTACTCAATTTAAGTATTTAACTTTGAGACCTAATAAATGTGTTTATTCGATTGTTAGTGAACTTCTTTCAATGTTAGCCCCTACTGTCAATTCCATGGTCAAAATGCATTAAATTTTTAGATTTTCAAAAATTAAGTCTAAAAGCATTGTCTACAATTTTATTTTGGGGCCCTAAAGTTTTGTTTCTATTTGGGGGCTCTAGTCAATGGCCTAAAAGATGGGCCGACACTGAATAAAAGTGTTGTTTCTTATCCAAAATAAATAAATAAATAAAGAAAAAGAAATTAACTCTTATGGACAACTTCACTATGTATATTATTTGGCGGCCTTGTCTGTTGGGGCCATTTAGATGTTCCTGTTGTTGGTGAGATCTTAATACAAAAATAAAGGTAGAGGAACCACTTGCAGAGACAAGACCAAAAGCATATAGCCAAGTAGTCTTCTTGTCTGTATAATTGTGATGCCAAACTCGTCTACAATATAGCACATATTGAAGATAATGTGGCATATCCTTTGATTGAGTGCAAGATGGTAGCAATAATTTCTACCGCTTTACAGGCTCAGGCAAACAACGACGCAATTATTGAAGCATCCAGTTGTGCTCATCAAGTAGTCATTGCATCTGATTTCGTCTAACCATATGCAAGGATCTCATGTTTCCTAAATATTTATTGAAATATACCGAAACACCTTGAAATATTGGAATTTCGAAATTCATTTCGGTTTTCATGGAAATAGAAACGTTTTAGACGTTTCAAAATGAGATTTAGTTTTCCAGACCATATCTTGACCTAGCCTCTTGCTTTAAACAAGAAGAGGTACTTAAGAAACATGGTTAAAAAAAAATTTTGAAAATGGATTTTTTCTTGCTCAAATTGAGAGTATATTCGCTGTTCCTTTTCTACTTCCACATCTTCTGCACTGTTTTTATTCTAATTTGTACATTGGAACCTATTGCATGCTACACATCCCCATGAGCAAAATAAAATAAAATAAAGGAGAACTATTGCACCATGTAAGCTTAAGTTTTCTTATGTCAAATAAAGTAGAGGGAGAGAACTGGAAGAGATAAAGAAAAAGAGCAAAGGATTTACAAGCCTAATGGGAGAAAGCTGACACCTGGGTGGACCCCAACTGGGAGGTTGTAAACCTCGTGTGTTCTTCTTCGCAATCATATGCATTGCTCATGCACTTGACTTAATATTGTTTTGTATTATCAAACTAGATAGATGTTTCCATCTTTNTTCAGAAAGTGAAATACTCCGACTCACTTTATTTTATGGTCATTTTGTGCGATCTGAGAAAATAATTAAGCAAAAATTCATCCTATATGTGAAGTTACCTCAAATTTAATCTAACAAAATATTAAGTTACAATTTATAACTATTAGTTTATAAACAATAAGTTAGACAGTTGGCTTTGAAGGAAAGATAGCAAAAAAAAATTATTAAGTAATGACACATGTTTTCTGTATACCATAAATAGTAGGTAAGATAAAAAAAAAAAAAAAAATTCAAGATGAACTTTAGGACCATAATGTTTTGTAAAAAAATACTTGTACTCAATTTAAGTATTTAACTTTGAGACCTAATAAATGTGTTTATTCGATTGTTAGTGAACTTCTTTCAATGTTAGCCCCTACTGTCAATTCCATGGTCAAAATGCATTAAATTTTTAGATTTTCAAAAATTAAGTCTAAAAGCATTGTCTACAATTTTATTTTGGGGCCCTAAAGTTTTGTTTCTATTTGGGGGCTCTAGTCAATGGCCTAAAAGATGGGCCGACACTGAATAAAAGTGTTGTTTCTTATCCAAAATAAATAAATAAATAAAGAAAAAGAAATTAACTCTTATGGACAACTTCACTATGTATATTATTTGGCGGCCTTGTCTGTTGGGGCCATTTAGATGTTCCTGTTGTTGGTGAGATCTTAATACAAAAATAAAGGTAGAGGAACCACTTGCAGAGACAAGACCAAAAGCATATAGCCAAGTAGTCTTCTTGTCTGTATAATTGTGATGCCAAACTCGTCTACAATATAGCACATATTGAAGATAATGTGGCATATCCTTTGATTGAGTGCAAGATGGTAGCAATAATTTCTACCGCTTTACAGGCGCAGGCAAACAACGACACAATTATTGAAGCATCCAGTTGTGCTCATCAAGTAGTCATTGCATCTGATTTCGTCTAACCATATGCAAGGATCTCATGTTTCCTAAATATTTATTGAAATATACCGAAACACCTTGAAATATTGGAATTTCGAAATTTAATCGCCGATTCATTTCGGTTTTCATGGAAATAGAAACGTTTTAGACGTTTCAAAATGAGATTTAGTTTGCCAGACCATATCTTGACCTAGCCTCTTGCTTTAAACAAGAAGAGGTACTTAAGAANGTTTTAGACGTTTCAAAATGAGATTTAGTTTTCCAGACCATATCTTGACCTAGCCTCTTGCTTTAAACAAGAAGAGGTACTTAAGAAACATGGTTAAAAAAAAATTTTGAAAATGGATTTTTTCTTGCTCAAATTGAGAGTATATTCGCTGTTCCTTTTCTACTTCCACATCTTCTGCACTGTTTTTATTCTAATTTGTACATTGGAACCTATTGCATGCTACACATCCCCATGAGCAAAATAAAATAAAATAAAGGAGAACTATTGCACCATGTAAGCTTAAGTTTTCTTATGTCAAATAAAGTAGAGGGAGAGAACTGGAAGAGATAAAGAAAAAGAGCAAAGGATTTACAAGCCTAATGGGAGAAAGCTGACACCTGGGTGGACCCCAACTGGGAGGTTGTAAACCTCGTGTGTTCTTCTTCGCAATCATATGCATTGTTCATGCACTTGACTTAATATTGTTTTGTATTATCAAACTAGATAGATGTTTCCATCTTTCATCCGAGCATGTTTCTTTTAGAAGGTTTATTCTCACTCTCACCTTAGGCTTTGCTCTTAATTTTATTCTTNGCTCATGCACTTGACTTAATATTGTTTTGTATTATCAAACTAGATAGATGTTTCCATCTTTTATCCGAGCATGTTACTTTTAGAAGGTTTATTCTCACTCTCACCTTAGGCTTTGCTCTTAATTTTATTCTTTGCGAAGTACTCCTAGAATTTTTTTGTTCCACTGAGATGTGTGCATTGAACGATTATTGGCGTGATCATTGTTACATGACATTGCTATGTAAGTTACAGGGTAGTATGCACCTGTATTTTATCATAGGAACTCTTATTCTTACTTTGATTCTTGTAGTTGTAACATCTGATTTGGCTTGTCATGGTTGAATGTTTTTCATATAGGTATACTCCTTCTATGCCACGTAGAGAGCTTTTTGTAGACATGCAGAGAGAAAGATGCCTCGAAAATGATAATGGTGATGCACTTGACTGCTCAAACTTCGTTGATTTAGACTGGCTTTCCTCCTCTGGAAATTCATGTGAGGAAGAATTGTTTGAGAGGTAATTCTTTGATGAGTTCTGATAGGGAGACAATCTTGCAAGCAATAATATGTCAAAATGGCACTTTTAAAACCACTTAGCTATTCAGAAGTCACCACTAAGGATCCTCAATCTAAGACAAAGAAAGAGTAACGGTTTTCTTTGTGACACAATTGCTATGCAAAAGCAAAATTATGTTGCATAATTGTTGGAGTTTGCTGAAGATTGATGAAGAGATTGTACCTGATCATCTTGTTTTATTGGTTGGTTTAGCTTTATAACAATCCAGTATTGCTCAGTTGTGCTCACAAGATCTTCAATCTCGCTTCCTTTCTCTCAGAGAACAGATAACAAATGGTTTCATATAACCGTTGTGAAAGTGAACAAATAGATGTACCTCAACGTTTTACGGGACATCACATGTCCCTGTTTCATGTTTCTTTGGGCTTCTTATAGCGCTCGTCTAATCTAATGCTCCAAAACACGTTTAGGCCACCTGCCTAACACATGTTGGTCCCCATGGGGGTATTTCTGCTTTCGTTTGTCATTTCTGATATTTTCTAAGGGTCCCTTCTCCATTGGTAGAATATTTACTGGTTCTACTTTTTCTGGATGATACACTTGCTTATTTTTTGACAAACTCGATAACAAGAATGTTGCTGACCCATGACTGAATTAGCTTAAATAGCATCAGCGATGGGGAGAGGCTCAAAATTTGTGGTGGTGAACCTATTCTGGATAGGCTTGTTGGCCTTTAACGAGTATCATTAACTGGAATGTTCATAACTAGGAAAGATATCTGATAATTGAATTTCTGAGGAGACACTTGGTTCCTCACTCTCTTTTCCATGTTTGCAGGTCCATGCTGACAAACTCCCCTATTGCTGGACTGTCATCTGACAATGTTATCAATGACCCTGTAGAAGAAACAACCCCATCCACCAGTGAATATGGATCATGCATGAAGGTCGGTTACCATTTTTGTCAAGCTAGTTTCATTCTCTCATCAATCTAAATTTAGTACTTTTGTGCAAGGATAGTGTTAAGCATGTCCACATGTGTGAAACATGCAATAAAGTTATAGTGACCTCTGCCAGTAGCAATCCAAACTACCCCAAAAATGCAACTCCCAAGTAATGGTATTAGTTTTTATATTTGGATCCCATGTTAAAATATGTGGTGAAAATTGGTGAATTCATACATAAAGATGGAATAATGATTACAATGGTATGCTGCAACTAATGATGGTGGAAGTTGGAAAGCATTCATCTTTACGCTTGGAGTCATGAAATGCTATTTGCTATTTCTTAATTTACAGTGGGTCTAAAAAATGTCCAGCATTTTTTGATTAGATGGGGAAAAATCTTGATTCTAACATCATATACGTCAAAGTCTCGCTAAGTTAGCATTCACTTGTCATCCAAGTACGCTGTGATCTTATGCCAGTCTTAACACCCCTATTAAAACTTAAGGAAGAAGGGAGAAAGTTGACTTTGAGAAAGCTATGAGAATAAGTCCAAATTCGATTCTCAAATATGCATTCAAAAGCAAGGAGAGGAGCATCCATAACAATAATATATTCTTTATATGGTTGTGTGATTTGCCACATTTTTCCTAGTTTCTGTCTTAGCAATAAAAGAGTGATCTTTTTCATAGGGAAACTAGGGAGATAGAAAAAAATATGAAGAAACAACCTTTGAATCTCCGCAACTTTTGAATCATCTAGAAAAGGATAAAGACCAAGATTCGCTTTCCAAAGAACATCTACTAAAGTGAATAACCTATTAAAAAATTCAGCTTTTTGAAAGCCAATTTCTTCTTCAATTTATCAAAGATAATGTTATTTGGTAAGCTCTTTCTTTTTCATACTCGATGTCTTTCTTTATTGTACCTTCTTTTTTTGTTTAAAGAAAAAAGGGTATTTGCTATATGTTTTTCTTATTTGATTCTCAAGCGGGTGAGTTAGGTAAGGTGCGCTGAATCCGATCAATTTTAACTTCATTGAAGTCTGATGAATGTACACACGGTCCAAGATAAAGGCCTTTACTATTCCATACTGCTCTGCAGCCAAGACTCCCAAATCTGAAAATGCTAACTAAAACTGCAATGGTAAAGGAAGTATGCCGGCAAAAACATTAGAGATAATGGTGGTTCTAACATTGAGATGTTGGAAGACCTTGATGTGAATAGACCTTATACAATTCACGGCAAAACCTGAACAAACACAGCGCCAGAAATATATTTAGCAAATATACCGTGCAACTGCATATTTTGTCTTGGACAGCTACAATTATACATTCCTAAAATATATACTACACAATCACCAGTGGTCTTGGTATTTTATTATCATGTCTTTGGTGGTCGAGGACATATTGACTCAAAAAAAGGATGAAAAGCAACAAAAAGAAGTGAGGCAAAAATGAGAAGTATGTTTGTGCTCTGCCATACCGGAATAGTGGGTTGAAGTTGCTAGGAGAAATTCTGTAGAAATCTTTTTTATATCCATTCCATTTAATGACACAAATTCACAATTCTGTGCTACGCTGGTAGGTGAGGGAGCAGACTGGAACTGAGCTATCCTATGATGATGCCCAAAATTATGAAGTTCCTGGGGAATTTTCGGATAGCTTTGTACGCTGGGTAACGTTTGGAGAGACGATCTGCCATTGAAAGTGGGCTTGAGTTCCTTTGCACCAGCACTCATTCAGCTGAGCGTATGCTGAGAATGCCTTTCCATGGAGACTGTTATACATAGTGCGTACGAAAGGTAATGGAAACAAGGGGGAACATAACCAGTTGTACAAGCATTATTTTGTGTGATGTGTTTCTGTCAAAGCTATTCCCCTGGTCTCGCTTATGGATTTCAAGCATTAATTCAACCGTGAAAACCTCGATTGGAGCCAGATATCATAGTACAAGAGTAAATAGCCAACATTTTCAAGATTCTTTCTGGAGCTCTTTCTCTCTGTCTCTCTTTATTTTATTTTTTTTCATTTCTCCCTTTAACTAGTTTATGGATTCTGTGGGTTCAAATATTGTAAATAGATGTATCTTAGCACATGGGAGCGCCTATTACAATTTTTGGTCATTGATTCTTTACATCCACATGTCTNTTAACTAGTTTATGGATTCTGTGGGTTCAAATATTGTAAATAGATGTATCTTAACACATGGGAGCGCCTATTACAATTTTTGGTCATTGATTCTTTACATCCACATGTCTTCTGTGTTAATGATTGACTTCGCTTATAAGTTATTGAACCAAGTCCTACCANGAGGACATATTGACTCAAAAAAAGGATGAAAAGCAACAAAAAGAAGTGAGGGAAAAATGAGAAGTATGTTTGTGCTCTGCCATACCGGAATAGTGGGTTGAAGTTGCTAGGAGAAATTCTGTAGAAATCTTTTTTATATCCATTCCATTTAATGACACAAATTCACAATTCTGTGCTACGCTGGTAGGTGAGGGAGCAGACTGGAACTGAGCTATCCTATGATGATGCCCAAAATTATGAAGTTCCTGGAGAATTTTCGGATAGCTTTGTACGCTGGGTAACGTTTGGAGAGACGATCTGCCATTGAAAGTGGGCTTGAGTTCCTTTGCACCAGCACTCATTCAGCTGAGCGTATGCTGAGAATGCCTTTCCATGGAGACTGTTATACATAGTGCGTACGAAAGGTAATGGAAACAAGGGGGAACATAACCAGTTGTACAAGCATTATTTTGTGTGATGTGTTTCTGTCAAAGCTATTCCCCTGGTCTCGCTTATGGATTTCAAGCATTAATTCAACCGTGAAAACCTCGATTGGAGCCAGATATCATAGTACAAGAGTAAATAGCCAACATTTTCAAGATTCTTTCTGGAGCTCTTTCTCTCTGTCTCTCTTTATTTTATTTTTTTTCATTTCTCCCTTTAACTAGTTTATGGATTCTGTGGGTTCAAATATTGTAAATAGATGTATCTTAACACATGGGAGCGCCTATTACAATTTTTGGTCATTGATTCTTTACATCCACATGTCTTCTGTGTTAATGATTGACTTCGCTTATAAGTTATTGAACCAAGTCCTACCATTGTTGGAACCATTATGTTTGTGCCATCAACATCCAACCCTTTCCTTAATACAAGTTTGTGACGTTCAGTTGAGCATTTTGTTAACAAAAACGCCTGGGACTAATTTTGGCGTCCCTAGATTTCTTTCCTTGTTTTGTTTTGTTTTGAGCATAAGAAAGCAGCGCGGACAATGGGGTACACTTTTCGAGAGAAATAAATGTACTGGACAAGTGGTAAAATCCCTGTTTTTATTTAATGCAACGCCAAGATGAATACGAAAAGCTACCTCTGTAAGCCGTACCACCATCACCATACCAGAGCCATTTATACACAGATCTCTTAATTTCTCAGCACATTGATTTCAAAAAGAGACCTATTTGGCCCTACTCAAATTAGTATACCACCTTTAAACAGGTCACGTTTCACTGGACAACTTTGAAATCATCTCGTCAAGAAGCGCTCCTTTCATCTTACTTAGATAGATCACCTCACATGGTCAGGCACTATTTGCTTGTAAATCACACCCACGGTCACAAAAGGATTTAGGTTGCATACTTGGGTAGAAAATCAGTATAACAACTGGTATATATCCTATGAAAAGAGCTTGGCATAAGGCCACAAATCTATCATTTTAGTAAATTAAACGTTTCCCAACATCAAAAGACCACAGTTTGCAATTTGCATATAAAAAGGGCAAGGTTACTGAGTTACTCAAAATGGAACATCTATGCATGTGCCTCAGATTCAAAAGGTGGTGCTACAACTCAATTAGATAATTGTACTCCCAATAAGCTGCTTAAAACAAGAAAATATTTAACATTCCAGTATCCTCCTGTCCATAGCTCAGCCAAGAATGGGGAAGATACGGGTAATGTGCTCCAACACAATGCTATCAGCAGTACTCTTCTTTAGCTCTGGATGGTTGAACTCATTGTGAGGTAGGGCAATGAGTTGGCCCCTACCTTGACCTTTCTCAAGAACCCAACCAAAGTTTGCTACCTGGTGCTCAAGGAACTTGTCCAGAGATAGACCTTCTNAGCAACAAAAATAAGTCAATGCAGGAAACCTCATTACAAATCCAGTGGACTTCATAATTAACCCACAAACAATCAGTACTCGCACTAAACACATACAGAAATCCATAAGTATGCTTCTTTATACTTGCCTCAAACTACATGCACATCCAGAAATATCTGGGTGTATTTTCATAATTCATTCACACTAACCATGCCCTTGATCATGTGAAGTTTAAAATGTTAAATTGCTGCTACTAGTTAATGAGAATAACAGTTAGCATTCCTTGACGACAGATTCCAATTTCCCATGATGCAAACACAAACAGTGTATTGAAAAGCTAAAGCAAATACGATTAACAAATGGCAAGGGGAAATATAAAAAGAAAAGGTAAGAAAAATGACAATCATACCTCAGCAAGAACAGACCTCGGAACCTTTTGGTAAGTCAGTGAAAGGACATGAATTGCATAGGCTTGAATTGCTTGTTCAAATCCTGTGTTATATCTTGTTGTGAGGTGTAATGCACACANAACAACAAAAATAAGTCAATGCAGGAAACCTCATTACAAGTCCAGTGGACTTCATAATTAACCCACAAACAATCAGTACTCGCACTAAACACATACAGAAATCCATAAGTGTGCTTCTTTATACTTGCCTCAAACTACATGCACATCCAGAAATATCTGGGTGTATTTTCATAATTCATTCACACTAACCATGCCCTTGATCATGTGAAGTTTAAAATGTTAAATTGCTGCTACTAGTTAATGAGAATAACAGTTAGCATTCCTTGACGACAGATTCCAATTTCCCATGATGCAAACACAAACAGTGTATTGAAAAGCTAAAGCAAATACGATTAACAAATGGCAAGGGGAAATATAAAAAGAAAAGGTAAGAAAAATGACAATCATACCTCAGCAAGAACAGACCTCGGAACCTTTTGGTAAGTCAGTGAAAGGACATGAATTGCATAGGCTTGAATTGCTTGTTCAAATCCTGTGTTATATCTTGTTGTGAGGTGTAATGCACACAAATTGATAAAAGAAACAAAGGGGAAATCAATAAAAACAACATTGCTAACAGCAGCAACAAGGGCATAAAACTTGATAATAAGATAACCCCAACTCTCCATTTGTTCTACGTAATGAAAACTAAGCCAAACTCACCATTAGTTACAAGGAGCAGAAGAAAATGGAATTCATGAGTCAAAGAGCAGCAAGGTCTACTAAATAGGAGATCTCTGATGCATGCAATAGCCCCTAGGAGAATCTACTTATAGCATTGAATATATCTTCTTCCATAAGAACAGAAGGCTAAACTAGCACCTGAGAATTGCTTAATTTTCCCAAAACAAATGGAGGAGATGGAAATTAGGGTAGTGAAATGACACATTTTGAGGATGATTGCAGCAAAGTGGTGTGCCCTTATGTACGACAATACCCAAGTCATGTACAAACATAATTCCAAATCCTTGCTGAGTAGACATACAAGCAGCATGCTGCAAGGAAGAGCTGCACTGCCAGAATATCCATATTGATGTTTCACAAACTAATTCACAAATACTTCACTTCGTGTTTCTTGTTGCTCTCTTATGTCATAGTATAATGGAGCAAAAGGCCCAAATAGCATTGAAACTCAAAATGTCTTACTGTACTGCATTTGATAACCTAACTTTTCATCTCCATTAGTCCGTAAATTGCAGTGATATAATATATAAATAGGACATAAGCACATTTTATTCACACTATAAATCTGAGAAAGATAAGACCAACAACCATGTTTCAACTGAGAATACCAGGCACAACTTCAACTATGTGGCGGTTTTTAGCTGCTTCATCCCAGAACTGATGGAATCTTGCTGTCTGCAGATGGAGCAGGTACAGAAAATCAATTTATCTCATGCAAATGTATGCAGCCAAATATTCAATCAAGACATACCTCCAAATAGTGTGAGAGAACAATTAGAGTCTTGAATTGATCCTCCATTTGCTGGTAAATGAAAGGAGGAGTAAAATAAGTATTTCACCAACCACAACTATATTAATTAGTCAATGACACTGAAGACCATAAAATAAACATCTTTTACATTATCAAATTACAAAGTACACTCAGATTGCATCAAAAAAAAAATCACAATTTGTCCTTCATTTTTCCATAGGAAAGATCACAAGAATTTGTTGGAAACATCTCTGCCAATTTTCACAGAGAAATCATCCATTGTTGCTCACCGAGATGGAGGGGGCCCTTTTTTTCCTAGCCCAGCCCATGGGGTTGAATCCCCTCTGTTCCCCAAACCCAGATGCCCCTACTGGGCCTCACAGCCTGCCCACTAGCCCATTCCGAGGAAAAATGGAAAGAGATACCACGAGGAAATGAGAACTCAGACACTGCTCATATCACGATAGATTAGAATTTTTTTTCCCAGCACAAATCTTCTCGTACTAAAATCAGCTAACCTCTATTCAGAGTTGTTAACAAGGCCAAATTACTCCAAAGAAGAGCCAATTCATTGGCCATATTCACACACAATAAACGGGAGACCTTTCACTGGAGCACTCATGGCTTCCTTCTTGGTGTCATGAGTATCATTAAGACACACCAGGTGTCAAAAATGAATGGTGCAAGAAGCAACAAAAGCAAGAGGATGAAGACAAGAAAAGCACAGACAAATTTCATATCCTGCATTCCAAAANAATCATCTCGTCAAGAAGCGCTCCTTTCATCTTACTTAGATAGATCACCTCACATGGTCAGGCACTATTTGCTTGTAAATCACACCCACGGTCACAAAAGGATTTAGGTTGCATACTTGGGTAGAAAATCAGTATAACAACTGGTATATATCCTATGAAAAGAGCTTGGCATAAGGCCACAAATCTATCATTTTAGTAAATTAAACGTTTCCCAACATCAAAAGACCACAGTTTGCAATTTGCATATAAAAAGGGCAAGGTTACTGAGTTACTCAAAATGGAACATCTATGCATGTGCCTCAGATTCAAAAGGTGGTGCTACAACTCAATTAGATAATTGTACTCCCAATAAGCTGCTTAAAACAAGAAAACATTTAACATTCCAGTATCCTCCTGTCCATAGCTCAGCCAAGAATGGGGAAGATACGGGTAATGTGCTCCAACACAATGCTATCAGCAGTACTCTTCTTTAGCTCTGGATGGTTGAACTCATTGTGAGGTAGGGCAATGAGTTGGCCCCTACCTTGACCTTTCTCAAGAACCCAACCAAAGTTTGCTACCTGGTGCTCAAGGAACTTGTCCAGAGATAGACCTTCTATGTTTATGGCCTGTGACAATACACAAACCTAATCAAAACTTTGTCATGGGAAAATAAATTATAGGGTAGTTAAGAGAGAGAGAGAGAGAGAGAGAGTGGNATGCTTCTTTATACTTGCCTCAAACTACATGCACATCCAGAAATATCTGGGTGTATTTTCATAATTCATTCACACTAACCATGCCCTTGATCATGTGAAGTTTAAAATGTTAAATTGCTGCTACTAGTTAATGAGAATAACAGTTAGCATTCCTTGACGACAGATTCCAATTTCCCATGATGCAAACACAAACAGTGTATTGAAAAGCTAAAGCAAATACGATTAACAAATGGCAAGGGGAAATATAAAAAGAAAAGGTAAGAAAAATGACAATCATACCTCAGCAAGAACAGACCTCGGAACCTTTTGGTAAGTCAGTGAAAGGACATGAATTGCATAGGCTTGAATTGCTTGTTCAAATCCTGTGTTATATCTTGTTGTGAGGTGTAATGCACACAAATTGATAAAAGAAACAAAGGGGAAATCAATAAAAACAACATTGCTAACAGCAGCAACAAGGGCATAAAACTTGATAATAAGATAACCCCAACTCTCCATTTGTTCTACGTAATGAAAACTAAGCCAAACTCACCATTAGTTACAAGGAGCAGAAGAAAATGGAATTCATGAGTCAAAGAGCAGCAAGGTCTACTAAATAGGAGATCTCTGATGCATGCAATAGCCCCTAGGAGAATCTACTTATAGCATTGAATATATCTTCTTCCATAAGAACAGAAGGCTAAACTAGCACCTGAGAATTGCTTAATTTTCCCAAAACAAANAATCTACTTATAGCATTGAATATATCTTCTTCCATAAGAACAGAAGGCTAAACTAGCACCTGAGAATTGCTTAATTTTCCCAAAACAAATGGAGGAGATGGAAATTAGGGTAGTGAAATGACACGTTTTGAGGATGATTGCAGCAAAGTGGTGTGCCCTTATGTACGACAATACCCAAGTCATGTACAAACATAATTCCAAATCCTTGCTGAGTAGACATACAAGCAGCATGCTGCAAGGAAGAGCTGCACTGCCAGAATATCCATATTGATGTTTCACAAACTAATTCACAAATACTTCACTTCGTGTTTCTTGTTGCTCTCTTATGTCATAGTATAATGGAGCAAAAGGCCCAAATAGCATTGAAACTCAAAATGTCTTACTGTACTGCATTTGATAACCTAACTTTTCATCTCCATTAGTCCGTAAATTGCAGTGATATAATATATAAATAGGACATAAGCACATTTTATTCACACTATAAATCTGAGAAAGATAAGACCAACAACCATGTTTCAACTGAGAATACCAGGCACAACTTCAACTATGTGGCGGTTTTTAGCTGCTTCATCCCAGAACTGATGGAATCTTGCTGTCTGCAGATGGAGCAGGTACAGAAAATCAATTTATCTCATGCAAATGTATGCAGCCAAATATTCAATCAAGACATACCTCCAAATAGTGTGAGAGAACAATTAGAGTCTTGAATTGATCCTCCATTTGCTGGTAAATGAAAGGAGGAGTAAAATAAGTATTTCACCAACCACAACTATATTAATTAGTCAATGACACTGAAGACCATAAAATAAACATCTTTTACATTATCAAATTACAAAGTACACTCAGATTGCATCAAAAAAAAAATCACAATTTGTCCTTCATTTTTCCATAGGAAAGATCACAAGAACTTGTTGGAAACATCTCTGCCAATTTTCACAGAGAAATCATCCATTGTTGCTCACCGAGATGGAGGGGGCCCTTTTTTTCCTAGCCCAGCCCATGGGGTTGAATCCCCTCTGTTCCCCAAACCCAGATGCCCCTACTGGGCCTCACAGCCTGCCCACTAGCCCATTCCGAGGAAAAATGGAAAGAGATACCACGAGGAAATGAGAACTCAGACACTGCTCATATCACGATAGATTAGAATTTTTTTTCCCAGCACAAATCTGCTCGTACTAAAATCAGCTAACCTCTATTCAGAGTTGTTAACAAGGCCAAATTACTCCAAAGAAGAGCCAATTCATTGGCCATATTCACACACAATAAACGGGAGACCTTTCACTGGAGCACTCAGGGCTTCCTTCTTGGTGTCATGAGTATCATTAAGACACACCAGGTGTCAAAAATGAATGGTGCAAGAAGCAACAAAAACAAGAGGATGAAGACAAGAAAAGCACAGACAAATTTCATATCCTGCATTCCAAAATTTTATTCCTAATGTATGATTCTAGTTAAGCATTCCAAAAATTTGATTCCTACCAATTCTACAATGAACTGATATTGAATATTTAGAATGCATCCACAGCTTAAACTTCAGCACCATGAATGCAACAAGAAGGCAAATTGTAGCCCTCTCACATTACAACACAAGTAATGTCACGTCAATACAATCCAATTTCTTCTTTTTTTGATAGAAATACATTCTAATTTCTATCCAATGCTTTCAGTTGCCTAATTCTAATGTAATCAACTATTTCCTTCAAATCTCATGAAAAGCACATCAAACACGTTCGAATTCCATTGTACGTCTAAATGTGCCATAAAAACATACTTCAACGGGCATTTAAGATCTTTGCATCAAAGTATCAACTCAAATACTCATATGACATAAATCCTATCCNACAGAGATATTATGCATGAAAATTGAAAATAAGTGAGTTATACAATGTATAATACTTGTCGTCTTTTCTTACTAATGATTGTTCGTACTTAAAAGCACGGTACAATGAAAAATTAAATTAAAATTCGAAGAATACTACAATGCCTAAAGACACTTTTAGGTGAAGCTCAAACCAAATCCTTGGCTATTGTTAAAACACACACACAAAGAATGCACCGTTGATTAGTTTCTTGACCATTCTTGATTTTAAATTTGTTAAAATTTCAATACTTGTATTAACATTTAATTCATGTATTGATAATAATTTTGGGATTATTCTTTGATTATTATTATTTATTCAATTATTTCTTGGAGTACAATAGACATTTAAAGTCCCTCCCATAAATTTGTGCTATATCTGTTAAAGGAGTCGATCCAAATGCAAGCATCAAACAAATCATTTTGATAGGCAGATGTGTTGAATGTTGAAGGTGGAAGCTGTCTCAAGGTACAATGTAACAAAAGAAGTCGATAATTTGAAGGAAAAAAATAGTATTACCAAGAGTAAAGTGACACACATAATTCATTTAGGAGGTCAAATAAATTTCTTGGTGCAAAAAAAAAATATATATATAGCAAAACTCCTCTAAAACTTATGAAAATGTTAACTTGTATACACAATTTACATACTTTCTAATCGAAACCTACAAGTTTCTAAAAAAAGCAAATCCTATTACATTAAAAAAAAATCAAAAAGAAGTCAAAATATTATAACTAATAGTTCAGTTATGTTGCCAAGGAACTCAAGCAACAAAGCAATATCATTGACCTATCACAATTAACTTTTCATTATATGTATCATCATAAACATGAAAACTTCTAGGTCCCATCAATTAATCAACTGAATATGGATTGATTATGCTATAATGTGATGAAATATGCCCTCTGGGGATAAGTGGACCNTACTCATATGACATAAATCCTATCCATAATCGCACATTCAAATACATGAATACAGATACTTACAAGCATTTTGATGGGTCTTACTTCAACGATAAATTTGACACAATTAGTTGTAATGAGGCTTGCTCTCATTCATTGGTCAGGTCATTCTATTCCAAGATCCACTGACGGCGGACAGTCCCCAAAACTTGCTAACTGAAGGACTAGTTTTCAGTATAATTATAATGTCATTAGATTCCTTAAGGAAGATGTTAGACTTATCTGAATAAACAAGCATACATGAGAAGTTCTCACTTCTCACTAAATGATTGTTTACACTATATGTTCATTCCAAACCACAACTGAGTTTTGTCGTATATTTGTGTTAACGGAAAAGGAAAGGCCTCCCTGTCAAGCAAACTTAATTGTAGAATTCTAATACAAATCCAATGTATAAGACATGTTCAAAACTAAGAATAAGAATGATACCACTCGTTCTGGGATTAAAAAGAGACAAAGGCTGAAATCTGGAGCTGGCATTGCCATAAGAGCCTGCACTCGGGAGGAAAGAGAAAACTGAGTATTTGATACTCATTAAGCAGCAGCAAATAAACACATCTAAAATGTTTAAACAGTGATCTCATCATACCTTAACCAAAACGCGGGCAACAATTTGGGTACTCATTCTTTCTGGCTCAAACTGCAATAAGGAAAAAATAAGTGCCATACTAAGTTTTTAAAACCCCTTCAATAAATTAAACTGATTGAAAAAACAAAAAAGAAAACTTCCTGTGGTGGTGAGTAGATCTTTTGGAGTGTTTCATATAAACACAAGCAAAGACTAACCTGATAGAGGCGGAGAAGACAAAGATTAGCATCCAAGCTGTATGTTTGTGATGAAACCTGATTTATATAAAAATATTTTAATGAGACTATCCATATAACTTTATACAATGAATTTGGGCATTTGTATGCAAAGTTCATTGTAAAATAATAACTAGGGATATCTCACATCAATTCGCATACCCTATGCCGTAAAAATTAGCAATAAAATAATAATTTTGCGCCACATCTACAAATTATATGCCCCCATTCATAATATTGCTTCAAACAAACTCATACTGCATCCGCATTATTCTGCAAATTAAACTATTAACGCAAAACTTGTCATAAGAACCAATATTTTGTACACAGACTACCAGAATTAATGAGTTTTACTATTCCTCAAGGATCATATACTAAACATTGAGCACTTAATCAATTATAACGAAATGGAATCAAACGTTTTGGACTCAAATTCCTTCAAAATGAGTCCTTTACCTCTATCCAGTCCAAAACCTCATCCGGCGTCAGGGAATAGGTTTTTTAATTATTGCATAAGCCCATGCCTATATAGAGATGCACGAACAAAATGGATATATATGCATATATACACGTATGGAGATAGAGAGAGCGAGCGAGAGAGGGGGAGGTGCCTGCTCGTTGACATAGTTTTCGAGATCGGGAAGGATGTCGGGATTATAAGGATTGACGGCAACCAGGTGCTCCACCGTGTACGACGCCGCCGTCTGTTGCTGCTGCTTTTGACCACCCTTCTCTATTTCTCTTCCCATTTTTTGTTACTAAAAACCCTCCGCAACTGATCCAGAAAATAACAGAAAGAGAGAGTACTGGGTTTTAATTTAGGGCTACAACGGAAAGGGAGAGACTGTGACGTGTGATGGATGGATGCTTGTCACAGAAAGACCATTGTGCCCTCTACTTCATGCATATTTGACAAGGAACGGATAGAGGGACTGGAAGGATGACTCTTGTCCCCACGCAGACCATCGTGCCCTCGACTTCATATATATATATAATATATATATATTTCATTTTTTTCATGGCTTTTTGGGTTACCAAGCGGACCATGGAGTGGTTCGGTAGGGGTATTGTCTAAACTTTTCACCATGGTATTTTAGGTTAGAATTTTAAAATTCACGATAAAATTCAATGATTAACTCATCTTGGGTACTATCTTTTGTCCCAACCTTTTTTTAACCGGCAAGAAAAAAAAAAAGAGATATTATGCATGAAAATTGAAAATAAGTGAGTTATACAATGTATAATACTTGTCGTCTTTTCTTACTAACGATTGTTCGTACTTAAATGCACGGTACAATGAAAAACTACATTAAAATATGGGTCAGTCGCAGACGGCGAACCAACCAAGTAGTTCAAGATTACTTGGGAAATCTTCTTGGTTTGGGATGTCCTAAGTACCAACCTCCATCCACGGCTAAGTAGCCGATGTAGAGGAGGAATCTTCCTCCTGTAACAAAAAGGTACAAATTGAACTTTGTTAGAAACAAATAGATTAGAGGTAGGCATATAATCGGTTAAACGTGTGGAGTGACATGGATTGAATTCATAGCAGCAAGATATTCATAATAGAAAACCACCACTTTGGTTTAATTCATAGTACCAACAAATTCAACCCAACCATTTGAACTTTACCAAACTATCCNCGCCGTCTGTTGCTGCTGCTTTTGACCACCCTTCTCTATTTCTCTTCCCATTTTTTGTTACTAAAAACCCGCCGCAACTGATCCAGAAAATAACAGAAAGAGAGAGTACTGGGTTTTAATTTAGGGCTACAACGGAAAGGGAGAGACTGTGACGTGTGATGGATGGATGCTTGTCACAGAAAGACCATTGTGCCCTCTACTTCATGCATATTTGACAAGGAAAGGATAGAGGGACTGGAAGGATGACTCTTGTCCCCACGCAGACCATCGTGCCCTCGACTTCATATATATATATAATATATATATATTTCATTTTTTTCATGGCTTTTTGGGTTACCAAGCGGACCATGGAGCGGTTCGGTAGGGGTATTGTCTAAACTTTTCACCCTGGTATTTTAGGTTAGAATTTTAAAATTCACGATAAAATTCAATGATTAACTCATCTTGGGTACTATCTTTTGTCCCAACCTTTTTTTAACCGGCAAGAAAAAAAACAGAGATATTATGCATGAAAATTGAAAATAAGTGAGTTATACAATGTATAATACTTGTCGTCTTTTCTTACTAATGATTGTTCGTACTTAAAAGCACGGTACAATGAAAAATTAAATTAAAATTCGAAGAATACTACAATGCCTAAAGACACTTTTAGGTGAAGCTCAAACCAAATCCTTGGCTATTGTTAAAACACACACACAAAGAATGCACCGTTGATTAGTTTCTTGACCATTCTTGATTTTAAATTTGTTAAAATTTCAATACTTGTATTAACATTTAATTCATGTATTGATAATAATTTTGGGATTATTCTTTGATTATTATTATTTATTCAATTATTTCTTGGAGTACAATAGACATTTAAAGTCCCTCCCATAAATTTGTGCTATATCTGTTAAAGGAGTCGATCCAAATGCAAGCATCAAACAAATCATTTTGATAGGCAGATGTGTTGAATGTTGAAGGTGGAAGCTGTCTCAAGGTACAATGTAACAAAAGAAGTCGATAATTTGAAGGAAAAAAATAGTATTACCAAGAGTAAAGTGACACACATAATTCATTTAGGAGGTCAAATAAATTTCTTGGTGCAAAAAAAAAATATATATATAGCAAAACTCCTCTAAAACTTATGAAAATGTTAACTTGTATACACAATTTACATACTTTCTAATCGAAACCTACAAGTTTCTAAAAAAAGCAAATCCTATTACATTAAAAAAAAATCAAAAAGAAGTCAAAATATTATAACTAATAGTTCAGTTATGTTGCCAAGGAACTCAAGCAACAAAGCAATATCATTGACCTATCACAATTAACTTTTCATTATATGTATCATCATAAACATGAAAACTTCTAGGTCCCATCAATTAATCAACTGAATATGGATTGATTATGCTATAATGTGATGAAATATGCCCTCTGGGGATAAGTGGACCTAGAGTATAAAAGAAGTTGGAAGTTCATCACTTCTAAATTCTAAAACATACACGGTTTAATTCTATACTTGAACTAAAGGGAAATTACACCTTTTCTTAAATTTCCAACAAATCAATTTGCCTCCTGAGGTGCATTCACTTCAACTTATTCATTAGGAAATGGTCATTACAGTCACACTTGGACAGTTATATAATACCAAGAATTTCTGACTAAAGAATAAGCCTCACATAGACAAAGCAAAACCAAGAAACCAAAGATAATCCAATCCAAAACCCAAATAAATTAGACAATTTGAAATAATTAAATAGTCATCCATGCATTTCTTCCAATTAGAGCAGAATGGAGATAAAAAAATATGACCTGATATTAAAGGAGGAAGCATTTTCTGTTTACTGTACCATTTATTTAGGACGCTTGGAATAGAGTTCATATCTAGTTTAACAATCAAATATGGGTCAGTCGTAGACGGCGAACCAACCTAGTAGTTCAAGATTACTTGGGAAATCTTCTTGGTTTGGGATGTCCTAAGTACCAACCTCCATCCACGACTAAGTAGCCGATGTAGAGGAGGAATCTTCCTCCTGTAACAAAAAGGTACAAATTGAACTTTGTTAGAAACAAATAGATTAGAGGTAGGCATATAATCGGTTAAACGTGTGGAGTGACATGGATTGAATTCATAGCAGCAAGATATTCATAATAGAAAACCACCACTTTGGTTTAATTCATAGTACCAACAAATTCAACCCAACCATTTGAACTTTACCAAACTATCCGATAGGCAATGCATACAATAGAAAACCACCACCAACAACATCACCATCCATCAACAGAACCGCCGACACACTCATAAACAGTAGATCATTACTAAGTAATTCACCTAGTGTTTGATTGAAAGAGGATGTTAATTGATGTTGAAGTTACACGATNTATGCATATATACACGTATGGAGATAGAGAGAGCGAGCGAGAGAGGGGGAGGTGCCTGCTCGTTGACATAGTTTTCGAGATNTGCATATATACACGTATGGAGATAGAGAGAGAGAGAGCGAGCGAGAGAGGGGGAGGTGCCTGCTCGTTGACATAGTTTTCGAGATCGGGAAGGATGTCGGGATTATAAGGATTGACGGCAACCAGGTGCTCCACCGTGTACGACGCCGCCGTCTGTTGCTGCTGCTTTTGACCACCCTTCTCTATTTCTCTTCCCATTTTTTGTTACTAAAAACCCTCCGCAACTGATCCAGAAAATAACAGAAAGAGAGAGTACTGGGTTTTAATTTAGGGCTACAACGGAAAGGGAGAGACTGTGACGTGTGATGGATGGATGCTTGTCACAGAAAGACCATTGTGCCCTCTACTTCATGCATATTTGACAAGGAACGGATAGAGGGACTGGAAGGATGACTCTTGTCCCCACGCAGACCATCGTGCCCTCGACTTCATATATATATATAATATATATATATTTCATTTTTTTCATGGCTTTTTGGGTTACCAAGCGGACCATGGAGTGGTTCGGTAGGGGTATTGTCTAAACTTTTCACCATGGTATTTTAGGTTAGAATTTTAAAATTCACGATAAAATTCAATGATTAACTCATCTTGGGTACTATCTTTTGTCCCAACCTTTTTTTAACCGGCAAGAAAAAAAAAAAGAGATATTATGCATGAAAATTGAAAATAAGTGAGTTATACAATGTATAATACTTGTCGTCTTTTCTTACTAACGATTGTTCGTACTTAAATGCACGGTACAATGAAAAACTACATTAAAATATGGGTCAGTCGCAGACGGCGAACCAACCAAGTAGTTCAAGATTACTTGGGAAATCTTCTTGGTTTGGGATGTCCTAAGTACCAACCTCCATCCACGGCTAAGTAGCCGATGTAGAGGAGGAATCTTCCTCCTGTAACAAAAAGGTACAAATTGAACTTTGTTAGAAACAAATAGATTAGAGGTAGGCATATAATCGGTTAAACGTGTGGAGTGACATGGATTGAATTCATAGCAGCAAGATATTCATAATAGAAAACCACCACTTTGGTTTAATTCATAGTACCAACAAATTCAACCCAACCATTTGAACTTTACCAAACTATCCAATAGGCAATGCATACAATAGAAAACCACCACCAACAACATCACCATCCATCAACAGAACCGCCGACACACTCATAAACAGTAGATCATTACTAAGTAATTCACCTAGTGTTTGATTGAAAGAGGATGTTAATTGATGTTGAAGTTACACGATTTTGTAAGTTATAGATGCATTACTAATTGCCCATGCAAGAGCAATTAAGAATATATATTTTGAAGACATGACGATCAGTTTACTTTCCCCTCTCTAGGCAACTTAATTACCATTATCTGAATTCAAGCACAACATGAACACAATAATCTCATTTCAAGAATGAACTCAAGCAGCTAATGGTATGAATAAATTAAAAACAAATGACTACTAAACACCCAGGCAAACATAATCGTCAATACAGTAAAGAAAAATATGTTTACCTTTTTAAGTGCACCATTTCCTATCGTTNAAAAGAGATATTATGCATGAAAATTGAAAATAAGTGAGTTATACAATGTATAATACTTGTCGTCTTTTCTTACTAACGATTGTTCGTACTTAAATGCACGGTACAATGAAAAACTACATTAAAATATGGGTCAGTCGCAGACGGCGAACCAACCAAGTAGTTCAAGATTACTTGGGAAATCTTCTTGGTTTGGGATGTCCTAAGTACCAACCTCCATCCACGGCTAAGTAGCCGATGTAGAGGAGGAATCTTCCTCCTGCAACAAAAAGGTACAAATTGAACTTTGTTAGAAACAAATAGATTAGAGGTAGGCATATAATCGGT